CCTGGCCTGTAAAGAGATGGATGGCTGCGAGTGTGAAACCTAGCAGTTGGTTACATGGCCTTGAGCTTCAGCGTCTAATTAGGCTCTAATGTAACTACAATGCTCTCGAGGAGATGTTGTCTCGCCCACCAAAGCTCTTTAAAAGCCTCCTCAGGGCAGGGGGAGCTCTGAGTGTGATGCTGTGGCAGGCCACAGTAATGTCCAAGTGAAAAGCTCGGGTTTCATTCCCCAGCTGGGATGTACTGGAAACAGGACGCCAACTTAAGACCTGAATCCTCATTTTGGCTCAGTCTGATGACTCTGTTCAGATAAGACGTGGGTCAGACCACTTTCTAGTAAAGCATATGTCTTAACGTTTAATCAGTACAGACACAGAAGTGTAAAAACAACAATAAAGGGAAGTAAAGAAGTTTTATTTTACGTTATTCATTTTAAATTGTTTTATCTGTATTTTATTAAATTGAACTTATTAACGTATAGTTTTATCTTCTAGTGCTGCAGTTGGTGCAGTGGGAGTTTACCTGTTGAGTTGTGGTGATATAATTTAAGGTTTCGAGTGTCACTGGTTGTAGTTTGGGTGTTCCTCTGTTGGAAAAGGGGTTTATTTTGTGTGTAGTTTTGATTATCCATGGATAAGTTTTAATTGCTTTTATAATATTGCTGTGAGGGACCGTGAATTTCCGTGAAGTTCACCTGTAGTTATGTGAAAGTGAACTTGGAAGTTACATTTCTACAGTTTTATTGTTGTATGGATTAAACAAAACTGATAGCATGCTTTTATTGACCTTCAGATGTGCTTGTTGGTGTTTTGTTTTTTTGCAGACTCAACAGACAGACGTGAGGGTGGTATTAAGCATCTCTAACTAAACACTGTAAAAACACTGGATTGTCCACTGAGGAGGTCATCTGTTGAGTTTAGAGCTAGCCAAAAAGACAAAGCAAGATAAACTAGAAGAGGATGTTCACTGCTATAATCTGCAATCTGGCAACCCAAGATATGTCTTTTTTATTAATCATGTGTAAAGCAATTACTTGCACCATATGAAGTAAACTTCATTAGAAACAAATAGGCCTATCTATGGTTGACACACATCCATCCAACCATCCATCCATTTTCAACCGCTTATCCGAAGATGGGTCATGGGGGCAGCAGGCCGAGCAAAGCACCCCAGACATCCCTCTCCCCAGAACACCTCCAACAGGAGGCTCCCAGGAGGCATCCTGATCAGATGCCCGAACCACCTCCACTGACCCATTTCGACACAAAGGAGCAGCGGCTCTATTCCGAGCTCCCTCCAGATGTCCAGATGTCTGAGCTCCTCACCCTATCTCTAAGGCTGAGCCCAGCCACCCCACGGAGAAAACTCATTTCGGCCACTTGTATCCGCGATCTCATTCTTTCGGTCACCACCCAAAGCTCATGACCATAGGTGAGGGTTGGGAAATAGATGGACCAGTAAATCAAAAGCTTTGCCTTCTGGCTCAGCTCCCTCTTCAGCACAACGGTCCAGCACAGCGCCCATATCACTGCAGACACTGCGCCAAACCGCAGATCAATCTCCATTCTACCCTCACTCTTGAACAAGGCCCTGAGATACTTGAACTCCCTGGCTTGGGGCAGTAACCCGCGCCCAACACGGTCGACACACAAGACAACGAAAAAAAGACCTCAAAAAACTCTTAAATACGTACTGAGACAAGATCATTTTCTGTTGCTCAACTGCTGCCATCAGTGGATATCAGATTTTCAACATCATCTTCATGCAAGCACGTCCCAACATGGTTGGAAAGCTTCGCAATTTGACAACTCATTTTTGGTGTGTAAATATTTGTAGTGTTATAAAAATGAAATAATGCTGCTGTTTGCTTCTTAAAATCTACTGTGTAAGAAACTGCACTGTTGCATGGTGCCACCATGTCTTGAAACAGAAGACAAACCATAGAACAGAATGCTGTCAACATTTTCCTGATGCATCATGTGATTTCCCCACAGCTACACAGCTCATGAAGGATGGTATCATTAACTTGATATAATATTAGAAGCTGGTCCTGAGAGATAAGGTGTCTGGTTGAAGGTCATCCATGCCCTCTTGAGTGAACATAAGAGCCTTTTGTGGTCGGGTTAAATGCACATGACAGGCTGTTGGAGCACAATCACCCATTTTAATTGTCATGTAACGGTTTCATGTAGAGCCAAACTGTCTGCAACACTTCAGCGGTTGGAAACCAGAGCCTGGCCACACAACCACAGATGCGGTTAGCTGTGCCTCTGCTGAAGACACAGGAAAAAAAGAGGGAGATCTGTGGAGACAGGCTTGAAAGGCAAAATGCTGATAGATAATGAAACAGATTTATCTACTGCGTTTTGTTAAGTTAAAGGCCTGTGTAAATCCTTTAGGGTGCTGAATAAACATGACTTCATTTGCAGCTCTTTGCATCTGTGTGTTGTTGCAAACATATACAATATGCTTCAATACACCTGAGAAATTAGCTGCTAAATTACATTTTCAGCTAAACAATACAGACAAGAAAACCTTAACAGCTTCAATGGCCACTCAAAGAACTCAATTTTCCAATTTAGCGGAAGCCAAAGATGACAGGAAACAAGGTAATTCACTGTAGCCCCAACAACAAACCCCCCGGTTGCTCTCCGCCTGCTTTGTGGGCTGTAATTATGTCCCAAACTGAATGCCATTTCATATTAAGCTGCAGTCATAATCTAACGTCAAAGACGGGCTCATTATCAACAATCATGGGAATTAGTTACATCATTTAACCAATCCCAACTAATAATTTCCAGGATACCGCAGAAGCAGATAGAGCCATTAGAAAAAATTGGAGCTCTTAAATAGAATAATTGACATCTATATCTCCTCTGCTGCTTTGGCTGAAGGGCTGCAGAAATTGCATTAGTTGCGATTGAAAATCTGAACTGAGGGAAAAAGACATCACTTATACTTTTGCAGGGCACTGCTGCATTGGCCGTTCCCATTCATGTAATGCTGAATACTGCGTTTAAAAAGGTCTGCGTCCCATCCGACTCTGTCACCAGTGTAACAACTTGCAAAACAGCAGCAGATGGATTCAGCGATAACGATGGAAGAAGTATTAAACCACTGAAACATCTCTGCTATCACTCTTTATCTTCTATGATAATACAATTAGTAGAATATTTAGGCACAAAAAAAGCAGTGTGTAAGATTTAGGGGCATATAGTGGCATCCAGTGGTGAGGATTGCAAATTACAACCAGCTGAAACTTCTCCTGGTTAGGATTCTTTCAGCGTTGATTGTTCAGGAGGTTTTTACCAGGAGCCAGGAGGTCTCTTACTCTCCAAAACAAATGGCTCAGGTGACTTAAACCAGTAGAAAGACTGAAAAATGCCATTTCACATCACACTAGCTCAGCACCTGCTGATTTGTGCTAACATTTTTTCTCTGATAATTTTAGATCCAGACATTCATAGTGATGAAAACTAGGTTAAAACAGATCATATTTTATTAGTAAAATAATCCACACACTGTTAACTTGCTCCTGTTATTATAAATGCAACATTTGGGTCAGTCAGACCTCATCAGTCATTAACTACTTTTCCACTCTTTACTTCAGCAGCAGAAACAGTCTAGTGTTACTTTAAAGTGTTTCATGTGACATATAAGAGGTAGTTTCATCATCATCCAACTAAAGAGCAAAAAATACTCTATACTCATGTCACATAGGTCCATAGCTCAGTGACACCTGCACGTAATTTAAATCTTGGCAGACGGTGTGTTTTTGGATATTATCAATGTTTCCACATTTTTTGTATCGTTTACATCCCACACCACTGACATTTTACGGTCTCATAGTCATAGACACTTTTGCTACCATTTCATCTCATATCATATGAAGCAGCCTACTTCATTCATGATTCTGATGATGTCGCTCGTAACAAACATTTCTGCCTCTTTCACATGTATGCGCTTGTGGCTGGATAAAAAAATCCAGAGTTGAGTGAACTAGTTGATAACCAGCTTCATAGTACTGGTTATCCAGATGGCTAACGTTAGGATTAGTCAAACCAGATAATGAAAAGATATCCTGGGTAAGTTGAACTGGCTTCGGGTACAGGCCTCAGGAGCTGAATTATCCACAGAGGTCTCCTCCTCTCCAAAATAAACAGACTGGGTGAGTTAAACCAGTAAAAAGATCAAATGAAGCAGTTTCACCCTTAAAAAATAAAATAATCTGTTCCGATGCTGCTAATAGCAGAGCTGCTGCTGACCACAAAGGCTGATACAAAAATGTGAATGGCCCTATCTAGAGCCAGTGTTTGGTTTGTCTGCTCTGGGCTACTGTACAAGGACACTGTACATGGTGGTGCAACATGGCAGACTCCATTGACAAGGACCTGTTTGCTATGTAGATATAAACGACTCATTCTGAGGTATCAAAAACACAATTCTGATTTATAGGTGATTATACAATAATATATGCCCCTAAATCCTGCACACTGGACCTTTAACGTTTCTATCTCCATATATATTTCTTAATAAACAAGTTCAGAACAATCTCACCGCTGCAGTGAAACCGTAACGATGGATAGCACTCAGGTCTGCAGTGTTTCCATCCTGATAAACCTTAATTAACTCGAAGGATAATGCACCTTTTAAAGTAAGAGAAATCTCAAAATGAGCACCATGACCATTTTATTTTAGCGTTGAACCTTTCCTCCCCTCTGTCGGCTCGATGCAGCCAAGTCATCAAGTTTAGCAGTTTTCCCCCAATTTCCCCCAATAATAAAGCAGGACCTGGTTTAGGCCGCAGACCTCTGATGTCTATCAACACAGGTCACTGTCTGGGGGCAAGTGGAGCCCTCGGCAAGACGAGTTGGATCATCGCTTTCCCTCAACACATCATCAAGAGAACAGCCTCTTCTGCCCCTGACACATTCCTGGCATTTCTCAGCTTTGCTTTTGCAGGTAGTACATGTGACAAAACTGAACACTGTGGGTCAAAACTTGAGATAAAAATGTTTTATTAACAGTCAAAGTGTCACACTTGTATTAGTGCTAAAAGACTGATCTGAGGACAGCTTCAGTATGATATTAAATGAAACTCCATCATTTGCAGTGAACGAAACTGATCATAAAATCAACAATTTGTATTCAATGACTCCAAAATGACCAAACAATAAGCCAGAAGGTTCGTTTAAAAATAGTTTTAGTCAAGAAAAGTGGTAGTTGCTTTTTAGAACAAACATGAAACAACAAAATATTTAACAAGAGCCACTAAAGAGAGGAAACATTTACTTACAAGAAAGACATACTGGTTTTGGAATGGAAAGAAATGCGACAAACAATATGGTAATGGTACACTGGATGCCAGCAGATAACCCAAATGTGATAAAGGCTTCAAACGCAAAGGGAACCATTCAAAGGCAGACTCAGGTTGATCTGAAAACCAAAAACAGGAGAGAACGGATTCAATCAACTCAGGAGAAAACACAAGTTATGTCCTATTCATTAAGGTTCAGTACAGTGTGAGCAAAACAAAGATCTGCTAAGAAAGATGTTTATTACACTTGGAACAACCAGAAGAAGAGGCCTATTTCCTATTTTCCAAAGTCACTGTGACATAAGTGGGAACATTTTGTACTGACATTACAGCTAAATTCAACCTTCACAAAACATGAGTCAACCCTCACAATTCTCTCTATGGGAAAACTGGTAAACGATGTGCTACTGAACTCCTGTTTGAGTGGTCTGACTCACCTGATGCAGACTGCAGCTATAAGCCTGACGTAGGTCGGCTGATTTAGGCTGGCATTCTCCCTTCCTTCCGCTACCTGCGTGTTAACGTTTCCTTTGCTATGCGAAACAACAACTCCAAGCTAACAACTCACATGCTGAAAATGGCAGGCTTTGATGAAGAGTTGGATGCTGATCCATTTTTGACATGGCACGTGTCAGTGAAATGTACTTAACAAATGTACCGATCCGTTCCTCACATGATCTCCTGTGATATCGTCTTAATAACGTTCTGCAAGAGCTGCATACAGCCAGTAAATCGTTGTGGTTTTAATGGGTCCAGTGTAGGGCTGCCCTCTAATAGGCGACCAAAAATTAGTCAACGAGAGAGGTCATTAGTCGGCAAGATATCATTGGTTGATTAGTCATGATACTATCAGAAAAGGCACAAGAGTAGTGCTCAGTGCCCAACCTCACTTTTTCCAGGTGGTTAAAGACACAGCATGTGTACGCTCCCTAATTTCCAGGGCTGGTACCTGCAGTTATTCCACAGGCTAGTTAATAACATGTCAGGCAGGAAATCCAAAGTGTGGGATCATTTTGAGAAGGTGAAGGAAGAACCCAAGGTGATATGTAAACTCATCTTCATTGGTTGACTACAAACATGACGTATCATCTGAAACATGGAAATAGCTACATGCCCATTGGCCCACAGCATCATTAACAGGCGGCTCGCTCAGTGTATGACGTGCACTTGTAGATAAAATATAGGCCTATATTAATGAAGATTCATTAGTACGGTTTTGTATTTCTCTGTAATGTAGCACAGTGTTAACAATGTTACTGATACTATTCTTTCTCACACCTTCAACTCAAACCACTGTGTTGCCACGCCCAAAATAATTCAATTAATATTGTAGATAGATCAAACCAGAGTGTTTTTCCCCTGTGGCAGAGTGATAATCTGTAATTCCAGACCTTTCTTTAACACTGATACCTACAGTGGAGATAAGTCTGGCTACACTAGACCACTGCTACTGTTTGAGTGGAATGTTTCTTACCACAGACTACATACAGACAATCATACATTTTTAAATGGTATTATTACAGTTCCGGGTCAAACACTGATTTAGTTTCACAAAGGTAGTGTTTATTACACGGCTATTGTCATGGATTACATTACACTGTAGAGCAGGTTTCTATCTGTCTGGCTACAGAGTGTATATTTATGGCAGCATGGACACACAAACTGCTGGGAGGATTTTCAAGTTCTCATCTGTCTATCTTTCAACCGTCGGATATTGAAAAGTGGACGGACGGAGATACAGATCAGCATTATGCCGCAGCTGGACGTGCTCCTTGTAAATGCAGCTGCTCACAGATTCAGTGAGTAGCGAACGGTTACACTGAGTGAGGACACGAGAGGTGAGGGAGACTCACTTGGGTTTTGTCTCGGCATCTGTGACTTGGCGGATGAAGATGGCATCCTCTGGGTGGCTGATGTCGCCCTTCTCGTGCATGTATGAGGAGGCGATTGCGAGCATAGTGCCGTCGTTGTTGAAGGCCAGTGAGGCGATGCTGGTCGGGTACCTGTGGAACTGACACAGGCGCTTCTTGTTGAACGGGTCCCAGATGTTCACAAAGCCGTCTGAGCCACCTGGAAGAAGGAGAGGCTCAAGGTCAACCTCAAAAGATTTAGGCCGTGTTACTGCTGAGATATGGATCTGTAATAACTGTGTGTTCATCATGCAACCTTGGCAGCTCAACGCTAAAGGTCATAAGAAAATCCATGAGCTTTATAAAAATAAAATTATTACAGAGACAAACTAAATGTAGGAGGAAACAAATAATCTTTTGTCAAGTACCAACTAGCCGGTCGTACCTGTGGCAAAGGTGTTATGAATACTGTGAAATGAGATGGCATTGACAGGGTAAACATGCTCGATTCCCTCCTCCTTCAGCCTGTGGCATTTGAAGGCATACTTCTTCTTCTGAACCTCTTGGCTCGGGTCCAGGTACTCCACAGCTACACGTCCCTCGATTGAACTCAAGACGTAGCCCTGGAGCCAAGACAGAAAATATGAAGTTACAATCCAACTTAGTTTCATGAACACATGAATCCATATCTGACAGAAGGCTGTCCGAGGAGTAAATTATCTGATAAGTATTAAAGGGTAAGTTTGATACTTATAACCTTGGCACTATTTTCCCATGTTTTGGTGACAAAATCTTTCAATTTATGTCCTCTAAAAGAACTGATTTTTGCTACTGACATGTTTGGGTTATTATTATAAGTGTCTGACTACTTATGGAAAAGATCCCTGCAGAGATGCACCTTTTTGAAGAGTAAGATCCTTTTTAGTTTAACCAGAAACAGCTCTGAAAATTGCTATCACCAAACCCACCAGACACCAAACAAATAAACAGTAAGTGTAGTGTGTGAAGAGCCAGCACATCTTTACATCTAACTGGATGAATTAAGGGTTTGTTTCAACCAAACCAAAGTTGTTGGCTGTCAGAACAGTTGAAAGATGAATGAAGATGTTTAATTGTGTTTCTTTCAACTTAGAAGTGCGTTTTACAGTAGGAGTCTGGTGGGTTTGCACATAGCAATTTTGGGTCTGTTTATGGTTAAACAAAATTATCTTACTACTTACCGAAAAGGTGTATCTCTAGATCATCTTGTCAGACACTATGAATATTAATCTGAACATGTCAGTGGCAAAAACAAGCGCTTTTAGTGGAAGTAAATTGTCAGTCTGAACCCGTATGATTACAACGCAGCCTGTTTTGCTGGTGCTGGCTGCAGAGGTGTCACTCAATACTGGACCAGTTTCCAAAAATGTTGTTCCCATTAGCTACTTAGACTACTTAAAAACATGGGAACATAGGGTCCAGGTTGAAAAATACTAAACTTACCCTTTAAATGTTGTCTGTATCTTTCAGTAGAGCTGTGCACACTTTAATTGATAAAAAGTCACTTCTAATTCAAAGTGTACCTGTTTGTTGGGGAAGGCTCTAATGCAGCGAGTCTGATACTTGAGACTGGACTCTCGTCTTTGCTGAACGTAGCCCATGTTCCTCAAATCCCACACCAGGACTCGTCTTCCAGCTGTGCCAACGATCAGCCTATCTCCAGCCACAGAGAGGGTGTACACCTTTCACAAAGGCAAAAGAGACAAGATAAATTAAAAGGAAGACACAACACTGGCAATGAAGTCTTACTTACAACCTACACAAACAAACACATGTAACAATGAACGAGTCAAATTGAAATAAGACCTTCTTCAACAATGTAATATATAACTATTTGACAAACAAAATAACAAGGTCTTAATTTTTTTTTTTTTTTTTTTGGTATTCAGGCCAACGTCCAATTTAATAACGTGCTTATGTAAGTGCTTTCTGGAACACTATACATCTTTGATGGCTACATCTATCTGCACTTGTGATAGGTGTTACTGAAAATGCATTAACTTAAGCAAAGAAGTATTCTTTTCTACTGGCTTGTAGTTCTTCATGTTATGTCCTTCCCACATATCTTGTTTCTTCGAAGAATATATTAAATTAACAAAGCGAGAAGCTCTAAAAATTCCATGTCATTATGACTTTAATATCATCTTATTTGGATTTAGATGTTAACCCTGGGACAGAAAACAGACACAGAGAAACATGTAGGCTGTAGGTTCCTTAGGTGTTCCTGCAATAAAGTCACTCATATAATCCTGCACACGTTTAATGCATTGTTACACAATATTATACAACAGCATACTGTGTCTTTTTTGCTCTACCTTTTCAGGCTGAGTAAAGGTGCCAGCATTACAGGGTGTCCTTGGGTCCCACAGCCGAACCGATCTGTCCCAGCTACCCGTTACCATGACATTAACTTCTGGGCAGTATTCCACACAACGAATGGGGGCATCGTGTGTTCCAACTATTGTATCTGTTCGAGGATAATATCAAAGAGCAACATAAATAAATCACATACAGCAAATTAATTGCAGAGTTATAATGATCTGCGACAGGTGCCCAAAACCGTTTATTAGTACTCTTGTGACATACCTTGGTCTGTGTTCAAATCGTGAGTTTTTAATTGTGCATCTAAACCTCCACTCCAAGAATGTGTCGGGTCCTGCAAATAAAAAAAGGAATGTTATCTGTGTGTGCCAGATGGCTGTAAGGAACTACAGCAAATGTAAAAAAATCTGCGACCTACATAAAAAGCACAGTCAAGAACTGGAGCTGTGTGCTGGTACTTCATCCGCATGGTGTTCCCTCCGACATCATAGAGACGGACGGTGCAGTCCCAGGAGGAGACCAGCAGGAACTGGGCTGTGCTGGGGCTGAACTTGACAGCAGAGATGCTGTCCTCTGGTCCCTGGTTTAGCTTGTACTCGTTCGAGCCTGTCATCTGCAAAGAAGAAACATATTAAGGCTGAAGTTGACTTTAATAAGACCTAGTTGATGCACAATGACATGGTTAAATACAACAGTGCTTTAATAAAAAAACAAGATACAGAGGTGGGCACAACATCAACACCTTACAATGTGTAAACTATCTCAACACCACAAACCAGAGCTTCAAATATGTCCACAGTTTAATCAAAACCACTCTGACAGCTACAACATTAAGTTTACATAATGTCCATCAGGGAAGCAATAATTAATTGCAGAGAGATGCACTGATTCCTGCAGGTATTATTATATTATGCATCACCTGTTACATTATATTACTGGTATAAATTAATTCAAAACAAGATAAGCAGGAACGAAACCACTGCTGCCACTGACTTAACAGATCAGTGACTATAAAGTTCAGGATTTTTGACTGCTAAATGTAAATGAACATTCAATTATCTTGATCTAAATGTTAAATTAAAACCATAATCACACAGATTTGTAGCTGTATGAGGTTTGCTTTTAGCTAAAACAAAGAAAAAGTCGTTTTATGTTTTGAATAATAGCAGATGGCTCCCTGCTAATTTCCAACTAAAGCATCTGATTACGATCATTTCAGCGAGATATAAAGACATACGGGTCATCATGTTTTGCCTGTCAAAGTTACTGTACATATTCAAGAGAGTAAGCAACGATGGCTCAGTAGCTTATCAGCTTATTGTTAGCCTAGCTCATTGACAGCAGTTGCGTATTTAGCCAACTAGCCTAAGTGAGTACTTAGCTTGCTAAGCTAACATATAAGTTTACTAACATGGCTTTCTGTTGCGAGGCTGGTTGAAGGTTAAACAACACATATATTTTATTTCACACTGACAACTCGACTCTTTCCGTTACATCCAGCAATTATACCGAGCCCACCTCTGCTGCCACCGGTGTTTGCTAACGCTAGCTTGTAGCGTTAACGGTCAAGCTAACGCAGGCTACAAGCTCCGGTGTTGGTCGTTTCACGTTACTTACCGCTTTAGTTTGGTGTGGTTCACACGCGACTTGCTATTTCCCCTAAGAAGTTGATTATTGTTGCTTGGTTTATAGTAAAATATGAAATATATAACGTGGCAAGTACAAAGCAATGTGGCTGCGTGAGGTTAGCTCCTCTCCAAGTAGCCGCTGATGCTCCGGAGGACGCTGATTGGTTGAGACGAATATTCGAGTTCCCGCCTGCGATATGATTGGTTAATTTAACCTTCACGGATACTTCCGGTGTCTCAGCCCAGGTCACGTGACACAGGACTGCTCTCTTTCTCTTCCTGACAGTATGGATGTGTTTTCGGTAGACTATGCAATGAGTCTCTCATGTAAGATACAATGCAAATATTATTTTAAGATATATATATATATATATGTATATATATATATATATATATGTATATACCATAATTATATTAAAATATATTAAAATCTGTCTATGGTACGATTAGTGTAGCTTTTTTAAAATAACGAAAAAAATGAATATATAGCCTATATATATGTTTTGGTTTTGTTTTGTTTTTTAATTGAATTTTATTTTATTTTTTCATTTTATTTTTTATTTATTTTTTTTTTGCCAGGAGAACTTTGCCCAAATCGATCAACTCTAGTAGAATAACAGTCTCTTATAGGCCAGCATGTCATAAGCTAGCCTACTTCAAGCTATTTGTCATAACATCAGGGGTGTAGATTTCTTTTCAACATTTGGGAGGACACATATGAAATGGGGAGGTATGAGGGTCCTCTGCCAGAATATTTTGAGCATCAAACACCTAATTTCCTGCATTTCGGTAAATTGTAATGCACCAATTTGAGCCTTTTCTGCACCAATTTATGTTGTCTTTAATTTTGTCAAAGTAGAAGTCCTCTAATAGTTGAATGTTTTTACTGGGGGGGACAAATGCACATGTTCTAAACGCAAAAATGTCCCCTGTCTCCCTCTGAAAAAATCTACGCCTATGTGAAAATTTAAGGACTATTTAAACCCTTGATTTTGCCTTTTAATTGTGACCATGGAATATATAGGCTCGCCTATTGTTATCTGCGCAATTATTGGTTATTTATGCAGCAAAAACAAAAGGCCTTTAGCAGGAGATTAAATTGGAAGTAGTTAAAATAGTCTGTGTCTGAAAATGCAACAATTCCAGAATAATACTTTCCCAGATCACGAGATTTAAAAAAAAAAAAGACATCCACCATAATCTAACGATTGAAATTATCCAATTTTAGTATTTTATTTTGGAGGGCACGCTCATCCCTGCAGACCCTCATAATCGGAAAATAGATCACTCCTTACAAGTGTACGAAAACCGAGATCTTTAAAACACGACAGCTTAATTTCCCATGTACATCACAGTTATATGAAGGATACACTTCTTTTTGGAACGAAATCTTTACTGAGTGTGAGACCATATAATATACAGCATTCCAATAACAATATCAGAGAAAAAACATACACAAAAACAGAGGCTATTTTTGGCTCTTGCATGGCTTTTAAATTACCGGCAAAACATTGCGTCATAAAAACACTTGCCTATCACCTGCAGTTTGTCGGGGATTTATTTTTTTAAGGATCACATGATTGTCCTCACTATTACAAAGAGAAAAAAATGATTTTTTTTGTCTGTAAAAATGAACTACAGCCTAGGTGACGGAGGCTGGCAGCCTAATGTGAAGCCACAGTATTGCACAATATTGGAAAATATCAAAATATTAAATTCCACATGTTCTGCTACAAACACTGACACAAATCTCTGTGAAATACATATGGACAGTCAACCCTGTTCAAAACATTTTTTTCCTCAAACTGAATACATTAAAATATATCCACCCACTTTTGAGCATTGAACAATTTCACCAGTAATAATAATAATTTTAGATTGGAGCCGTAGAGACTTGCGCTTCAGCAGGATGAACGATGGTTACATATAATAATAATAATAATAATAATAATAATAACAATAACATTGTGACTCTACAAAATATACAAAATTTATTTTTTTCCAATGTTGGTCACTCTCATTTAAAAACATATGTACAGCGCGTCATGCCACAGTCAGTGTTAAACAGGCCTCAGCAGTGGGACCGGGTGGGAATAGTACATGTGATGGGGAAAAGCCAGGAGCGACTGGCTGCCCGGTGAGTTTGCAGCGGGGCCCCCGGCCGTTTCCGGGGCTCCGTTCTCGTGGTAAAGTATCGGAACCCGCACAATCCTCTGCGCCGCCGCGTGGCTCAGGTTGGCCGCCTCCAGCTCCGCGGCCAGCTGCCGTTTCCACTTATTCCTCCGGTTCTGAAACCAGATCTTCACCTGCGTCTCCGTCAGGTGCAGGGACGCGGCCAGGCCTGCCCGCTCCGAGCTGCTCAGGTAGCGCTTGATGTCGAAGGTGGACTCCAGCTGGAAGACCTGACTCCTGGAAAACACCGTGCGCGTCTTCTTCTTCCGACACGGCTTCCTCTCGGAGTCCAGTTCGTCCGTTTTCCGCCTCCAGTCGTCCTCCTGGTCTATTTCTTTCTTTGGCTCCTCAGAGTCACTGTCATCCAGCGCGATGTCGTCGTCGGCGCTTTCCTCTTTGGCATCTTGGTCACTTTTTGGGAGATCCGGGGAGCGCCTGTCCGGTGTCGGTGATGCTTCCCTTAGGTTGGCCTTCTCAGACCCTGCAGGAAAATAGAAATAGTATTCAAATTTGATCCTTTTTTGCCTTTGATTTTAATTCATTCTAGACATTCAGTTGATTTATTTTCCCCTTTGTTGTATTATTTATAATTAATAGATAGTTTAGGGACATAATTATTTTTTCCAAAATGTACATGTGTAATTTTAAATCCTACATTACTCATTATCTGACACAATAGGCCTCTTGCTGTAAAATGAATCTTAATTCTGTTCCCCCCCTCACCAAAACACAACATTTCTTTATAGAGTCAATAATATTTACCTCCAGTCCTCAGATGAGTCCCGAGTGTGTATGGGTACCACCAGGTAGACGCTCTCTCCAAATACTGCGCCGATAGTCCAATTCTCTGTGTGGGCAACTCAAACCGAGGGAAAGACAAGTCACCGAGCCGAGAGAAGAAGCTGCCCTCAAACACTCCTTTGGATGAGCCGAGGAACGTTTTCGGCTTCGTGGGTTTGTCTTCGATGTTCAGCAGGTTCTTGATGGAGAACGGCGAGTCCTTTGCGGGTTGGCGAGTCTCTTGCGCATCAGAGTCTGCCATCACCGTTCACTGACCGATGTGGATCACCATCAAAACTTATCAAGAGGACAAAAAACACTTGAAAAAGATGATCTTACTGTCTGAGTTAAAACTATGCGAGAGAAAAAAGGAGAAGGGAAAAGTGGCCAGATGCCTCCTGATCAGACTGAGAGCTCACTGCGTCAAACTTGCGCCGGATTGTAATGATGGAATAATAAATGCCATCCGAGTTAAAACGCGCTCGGTCTCTGCTATTGGGCAGGTACAATAGCAAATGGGATTTGAGATGAAACCGCGAGGGGCTGTGACGAGAATAGACTCCAAAGAAAAAAGGCCGCGCAAGCGTTTTGGCTCCGGGCTCAACAGTACGCACCCACTTACCATCCAATTAGATTAAAGAGGAGAATGTCTCGGGGTTTTTTGGGGGGCGTGCACGAGCCGCAATCACCTGTCAGTAAATTGAATAAACGGTCCGGGGATTATCACACCTTAACGTGGAGCTGGAAAGGGCTTTGGCACAAATATTACGCAAATTACGCACATTTTACGCACTAATGTAAAGCATCAAAAACATATAAAACAACAACAAAAACGCTTAAAAGCAGCATTACAGGAAGATTTATTATATTCTAATATTTATTTAATGACTCTATTTGTGACTGAACTCCGTGACTTGCTGATGATCAACCTCATTCATGTGTTATTTCAGTTCCACCTGTGTACAGCAGGAAACCAATATGTACCTGCGTTTCTCCTGTAACCAGAGCTCATTGACTTCAGTGTAATTTTATTAGCCAGGAAGTGCTACAGGCGGACATCAAATTGAATGCTTACCGCTGTGATAAAGGCTTTTCAAATCAGCTTGGTACAAAAGCCTGCAAAGCCACGGGGGCAGCAGGTGATGTAATGCACGAGGATGACACAACAAGTCTTGTCTCTGTCACATATTACAATAAAGCCGGTGCTTGGATGCAGCAAATTATATTAGTATGTGCAATGAGACATTAATGTGATCATGTGTGATCAGATTAGATGATAATTGTCATGAGATAAAGACACAAAATGAAGAGGAGGGAGATTTGAAAACCCTCACACTGCTTTTCTCTTAAGATGGAGGCAACTATGAGACTTTAGTGGGGATTTCTGAATCAATAACAGGCCTCTGGAATGTGTTTTAATGTAGAAAAACTTAAAGTACAACCCCAAAAATATGCCTGTCACACAGCCTTTGGATAGATGTTTTTGTATTTATCTATGATGTCACATTTGGCTCTGATACATGCAGCCAAACATGAAAAAAGTACAAAAAAATATAACATGAGATGCGTTTAAGATTCATAATCTAAACCAAACTTGAAGCAGATGCAGAGACCTAATCAAATCAATTGGATTTGCTCAACCTGCAAACATGCAGCCTGTCCTTTTAGCCCACTGAGCGCTCTCCAGCTCTAAAGGACAGTACTGTGTTTTGTGAAAAGCTACTTGAATCCCCGCATAATTAGAGGTCTCATAGCTGTGTTAAAGATGGGGGCGGAGAAAGAGGCTGGTTGAGCTGCGTGTGCCGATGCAAAGTGAAAAGCAGATAGCTGTGTTTTCATCAGATTATGTTCATTAAAAAGGGGGACTCGCACAATGGACGGAGCAAGTCAGAGTGGATGAGAGGAGGGGGGGGGCAAAGCGCAGTCAATTAGTGTTGCAAACGGCAGGAGGACTCTGTTTGTTTTGTTTTAGGGATTTTGGAAATGTGTGCTTACATTTTGTTCTGACTGTCTTCATGAACCTGTCATGTTTTTATCTAAATATATCACTTATAATAGACCACTCATGTCAGATTATTAGTCCTATCACAGGGGCGGAGCCAGAGGGAGGTCCAGCCCAAACATACAGGGTGGGTCATGTTCCCCTGGGGGATTTTATTTCCCCATTTACAGCAGCTATATGACCTTATTTTCAAGTAATATCAGATCATAAAAAGCCTAAAAATATGCAAAACATTGGCAAAAACCGATAGTTGCCATGGAAAAAAAATCTTCCTGCTCTTTCTGAATATTGACGATGACTAATTTTCCACTCCTGCCACCTAAAGAGGCCAACTTGACTGATGTTACTATTTTTAAATTGCATAACATAACTAGGGTAGAAATTTAAACAGCATTTCAAATTCCAAAATTGACCCTTTCACTAAGTCCCGCCCAGATTTCCTTCATTTTCAGGCTGGTTTTGTGGATTTGGAGCTAAATGTTGTGCCTGGGGCACGTCGTGTATTAATGATACTCGTTACCTGGAGAGGTTGGAAAAAGATATATGTTTCTTCCCTGTTCCAAAACCAAAATCAAACCCTGAAAAGTGTAGGGTTAGCTAGCTAGCTACTGAAGATATAGCCTACTGAATGTAAACACAGACTGTAGACCCCTCTGTCTGCTTCTCTCTGGAATCACTGTTTCATTTTTCCAAAAATATGATAATATTTCTTCAGGGAGTGCAGTTATTTCCACAGGAAGGTTGAGGCAGAGAGATAGCATCCATGGGACAGTGGGTGGTAAGGGAAGGTCCAATGGAGACACAGAGTCCTGGCAGATCGAACCACAGTGTACACTCCAATGTGGTTAGTCAGCTTGACCCTTTACCCTTTTGATATGATCAGTAAAGGGTCCCCAGATTCTAGAAAACCTGGCACGAATGCTAATCGAGCTGCACAATGCTGGGCTGTGAGCACAGGTCCCACTAGAGGACAATGGGGCCTCATGCAGTCTGTTTCTGACAGCTTGGTCAGAAACATGCACACCAGTAGCCTGCTGGAGGTCATTTTGTAGGCCTCTGGCAGTGCTCCTCCTGTTCCTCCTCACACAAAGGAGCAAATACCGGTCCTGCTGCTGGGTTGATGCCCCTCTATGGCCCTGTCCAGCTCTCCTTGTGTAACAACTGATCTGCTGGTATCTCCTCCATGCTCTTGAGACAGCAAACCTTCTTGCGACCACATATACGTATGTGGCATCCTGGAGGAGCTGGACAACCTGTGCAACCTGATTAGGCTGCAGGTACCGCCTCATGCTACCAGGACACTAGCAGAACACAAAACTAGAGAAGAATCAGTCAGGTAGGATAAGGAGAGAGCAACTGTCGGTGGACACATGTAAAACCATTACCTTTTGTAGGTTGTCTTGCTTTTGCCTCTCCATTGCACCTGTTGTCACTTTAATTAGCACCAAGCAGCTGAAACTGATTCACAATCAACTGTGCTTCCTAAATGGACAGATGTATATCCCTAAAATTAAACTCACTTGGTGTTAGACTGTGACCATTAAGTCTTCCTTTAATAGTGTCAATCACTACTATTGCAGCAGGCATCAATCTGTTTCCATCCCTGTAAATAAATACGGTTGGGCACTGTCACTGATTGATGACTTTTGGTTAAACAGATACCTCTCAAGCTTCATTCTTCCAAGAGGTCATACATACACGGCTCTGTATACTCGGACACAGCTTGTCTGTGTTGTGTAAAACAATAGACTTAATGTTACACAGCCCGTGTAGGGCCGTGGAAATGTCATCAATCTCACCTGAAAAATGATCAGTGAGTCATTTAGGCGAGGCAGGCTCTTTACATCTGAAGCACCAGCATAATTAAATTGACATGAAATATCATTAGAGGTGATAGGCTGTTAAATGACGTGCTAATTGACTGTCCTCTCAGTGAGAAGCTGCTGCTGTCACCCTGGAGAGTGCTGCCATCTAGTGACAGAACATGGTATTGATCTGCCTCAGTCACGGCACAGACAGATGGTTTCTCACACTACAGAATACTTCACATTTATTGATATTAAAGTTATTCCTCTATACAGATACTTTCTTGATATGATGTGAAATCACTTCCTCATTTCCCCCAACAAGGAACTGTACAGTATTTACTGAGCATATATGAGTGAGCTCGGTCACAGCCGACCCTCCAAAGGCACTGAAACATTCAAAGAAAATCCCAATCACTTCTTTTAAAACTCTCATATTGAAACATACGGCCTAGTTATGTTATTCTGACATGATTAATCACCATATCTCAAGAACTAGAAGAAGCAGTGTGGAGCAGAGGGAAGAGGTACAGCTTGACTAACAGGCTCATTCCTAGACATGTGGAAAGGTTTGGTAGAAGGCAAATAGAAAAATAACCATTGCACCGGATCAACTTTAACGCTACAGCTGGGGAAATACAACATCAGTAACACGAGTAGTGCCAACTACTTAAATGAAATTCAAAAATACATATTTTTCCTCTTACCTGTAGTGCTGTTTATCCGTCTAGATTATTTTGGTGTGAGTTGCTGAGTGTTGGAGATATCAGCTGTAGAGATGTCTGCCTTCTCTCCAGTATAATGGAACTAGATGGCACTCAGCTTGTGGTGCTCAAAGTGCCAAAAAATACATTTGAAAAACTCAACAGCAATGTCTCTTTACAGAAATCATGACCTGGTTACTCAAGATAATCCACAGACCTTGCTGTGAGCAGTTTTATGTAAGAACTATTTTCTTTCTACCGAACTGCACCCACCAGACAAACCAATGCGCAGAAGGAAGTGTGCATCTACTCATGGACAAGCGAGTAGCGCTCGCAAACTGCCGCTGTTTACTCGCATTTTCATTTCGGCGAGCATGTTAACAGGTTAGAGCATTCACACCGCATCCACTCTACGCGCTGCTCGAAAATAGAAGCGACACCGTTTTTTTGTGCGAGCATTGTGACCTGTCTCGGCCACCGTAGACATCTCCCCCTTGAATATACGAGACCTGACAGCCACATGTTTCATGCTTTGGAGATAGACGACTACAGATTAATCGAGGAGGTTGAAAAGCATGTTGACCTTGATGATGTCCGACATCCAGTGTATAAAGACAACCGAAGGAAGGACAAGGCATGGGCAGTGGTCGCCATGGAAATTGGCTTTGATAACCCTATGTAGCTAATATAGGCGTGTATTTTGACGGGACAGCAGCGTCTGTTCGGTTTTGGTGTGAATACAAGTGTGCTGCCGCTACACTTGCGGACCGCTTCCGGACCGCTTTGCGAACACATCGCTTGCGGTGTAAATGAGGCCTAACTTTAGCTAGCTCAGTGGTGCTAGGTGAGCTAGCAGTAGATGCACACTTCCTTCTGCATGGTGATGCGGGTTGGTGGGTGCAGTTTGGTAGAAAGAAAATAGTTACGACATGAAACTGCTCACAACAAGGTCTGTGGATTATCTTGAGTAACCGGGTCATGATTTCTGTAAAGAGACATTGCTGTTGAGTTTTTCAAATGTATATTTTTGGCGCTTTGAGCACCACAAGCCGAATGCCATCTAGTTCCATCATACTGGAGAGAAGGCAGACATCTCTATGGCCGATATCTCCAACACCAAAACAATCTAGACTGATAAACAGCACTACAGGTAAGAGGAGAAATCTGTATTTTGGAATTGGGGGAGTAAAAATTGGTGATAGTGAGAACAAACATTTATAACTGCAACAAAACTTAACAAAACATGAACGTGGGTCTACAGCAACACATCCCCCAAAGTCATTTTAGGAGCATTAAATGGAGTGTAACACAGCAGAGTTCAGTCCAACAGCCTCCTGTCCAATGTTTCAGTGATCATACTCCTTATCAATGAACTTGGCCATAGTGGACAGCTGAACATTAGTCGTGCCTTCATAAATGGTACCTGCACATGGAGACAAAACCAAGCATTAGAATGAATTCCTGCTGCACAACAACAAGGTCAATTTTGTCAAATTCCCCCCGCACAGCACATGAACCTGCAGCTTTCGCTATCAGGAAACAACGAGGCTTTTTATGCAGCTCAGTCAGCTCCGGAGCCAAAATGGCGGTGATGACAGGCAAAGCGACATTCTGCCCTGGCAGCTTCCTTGGCTGTGTGTAGGTATAATGGCACTCTGAGGGGTCAGACGGGGGAATTCCTGCAGAGTCCAATTACAGCCGCTGCTATCAGCCCTTCTCTCCGCCCCTCTCTGGTCCAATCACAAACAGCTACACCTGACCTTCCCACAGCCCTCGTGAGTTGTGTCCTTTTCCACACTGTAGCTTTAGTCACAGTTTCCTACACCGGCTCTGATGTCAGCGGCGATCTAACATACTGTGTGCAAACAAGTCAACATTTGCCTGGTGGTGAATATTTGTCCGGTCATGCTCACCAATTTTACAGTCTCTGTAGTATTTCTCTATGGGGTAGTCTTTGGTGAAGCCGACCCCTCCCATCCACTCGATGCATTTAGATGTGGTAAGTGTTGCAACCTGAGGAGGGCGAAACAAAACAGATATTATTATGGCTTTATTTTTTACCAGGAAGAAGTGTCATAAAGGTACTTTAAGACTTTACGACTTTAAGAATTCATAAACTGAATGAATTATAAAGTTTCAGCAACACAGATGAGATCAGAGAAATAATGCAAAAATGATAAAACAACTAAGTACTATTACAAGAGGGAACAAAATCATTAAAGATACATAAAGTGGATTTATAAAATCATAAAACACATAACCCTAAAGATCACAATATATCAGAGAAATTAGAGTTTTCGAATATCAGTATCAGACAACCCTCTGATATTGCCTAAAATGCCTGAGTAAGCCACTCTATGCACTACTACAATCAACTCAAAAAGTTTTACAGTGGATTAAAATGGCAGTTTTCCCAGAAATCAATTATTCTTTGCCACTGTAAAACGCAAATTTGTGTTTGCTTAGGCCCTGATCATACACAATGTGTTTTAGCAGCTGGAGGAGTCTTTTTGTAATTGGTTTTAAGGAGAATTAAGCTTTTTGATGACCGATTTTGTGTTGCAATGTGCCTCCAGTTTCTGCGCTCTAGGTGCCTAGTGTTTTTGCTAGAGCGTTCTGAACTCCTTGAATCAACCCAGAGCAGAAAAGCACCCAATGTCATCTCTTTTTTGGTCATCTTTTTTCCCCATTGTCCAATTTGATGATTTGAGAGGCGGGCCTTCTGTGGTGGTCACGACAACATGTTTACAGTTGGCAAACAATGGAGGAGAAACTGGTGGTAGCAATTGCTGGATACCCAGAGCTATACGGCCTGATGATAGACAGCAGGTTGTCAAACTGCCCTGAGTCATCCTAAAATATGCCTGGGAGCGGCCATCATGGAGGAGAAGCTCCTGGACCAACTGGTGGTACTCCCCATGATCCACCCTCTTTTTTTAGGGTCTCATGTACCCACACAGATCTCTGTTTCCCTGTGCCCAACAAACTATTTACTGACAGCCTCTCACCCTCAACCTGAGCTACAGCAAGTACCCTCTGCCTCAACATTTTAGGGACTAGATACTATTTACTGGGGGAAAAGACACAGTAGATTGATCACACGGGAAGGTTAATGCAAAGACGTGATGGCGCTGTTGCTTGACAACAATAAAAAGGCACAGCAAGCATTTCTTTTACTAGTGGCATGCAATTTAAATAAAAAAGGCAGTGCGGTGCGTCTCGAGTTTTGCAGCCAATCCAACCAATGAACACAACGAGTATTGGCCAATCATGGGAAGAGCAAGGTGGGTCATTCCTTCACTATCTGGCAAGTTGCGCAGTGCAGCCACTGGCAACTACTGTTTTAGAGCGGCAAAAAACTATCCATTTTCTGTAAATGGAGTAACGATAGCAAAATGTTATCAATTAGGCAATATTTCACACTAGAAACTCACACCAGTATAAGGCGACAGTATGCAAGGCTTTAGTTTGTGTTGCCAATTTCATCACCAACTCATGTCATACAACAATGATAGCGATCATCTCACATCCATACAGGATTAATAGTACACAGCTGTTTTTATTTAATGCAGAGGTATCAGATCGGTACTCGGTATCAGCTGCTATACAAGTTCAGGTATCGGAATCCGTATCAGGAAGGAAAAAAATGGTAGCTCACCTCTGCACTGAAGTATTTAGCCATGCAGGCCTCCTTAATGAAAGGTCTCCCGGCTTCTTTCAGACGAGCAGCGTTGTACGTCAGCAGCCGAGCTGCTTCGATCTGTGTTGCTACGTGGGCTATTTGGTGCTGCATGCCCTGGAACACAAAGAGCACCACAATGACGTAACCACCAGAGTAACGTGACTAATTGCAAATGTGTCATGTGAAAGAGTCAATGTCTATTGTAGATCTTTACCTGGAAGTCAAATATGCGTTTTCCAAACTGCACTCTCTGTCTGGTGTAAGGAATAGTGTGGTCGAAGCAACCCTGTGCCAGCCCGAGCATCTGAAACACACAGTTAGCACATGGAACATGCATTACATTTTGCTATCTTGAATAAAGCACATTAAGTTTGTTTTAAAGGGTAACTGTTGTTTTTTGTTTAAAGGACCAGTGTGTAAAATGGGTTGAAAACAGTGACATCAGTGGTCAAATTCTAGATTGCAGGGCTCACTCGCTCACCCCTCCCATCGGGTAAATGACGGTGGCCTCGTAGGGACAAAAAGCCTTGAGCACAAGTTTTTCAGGAGTAGGTCTATCTAGCTACGAGGTGAATATTTATTTAGAAATCTAAACCATGTTACGATATTGTAATGAATCCCTCACGAGCAGGAGACCAGAGGAGCGTTCGGGAAAAAGGCCAGTTTATTTGAGCACTCCAAAAACTCCGGTAACACTCCAGGGGGTAAAAGACTTGTTTACCATACCGAGTGGGGACCCCCTCCCCCCTCTGCTCCACCAATCTCCAGCCCGCACACTGACTGACAGTGTAGCCTGTAAACAGAGCTCAGCAGTTTATTTAGCCTAGCAATATCTCTGGACTATAGTAGCTGCAATGGACGACTTTGAACGCGATTTTGAAGAGTTTCTTGTAGCGGACACAGACCCAGAGCCATACCTGTTTGAGCCGGAGCATACAGATGAGGAACTCCATGTGTTTGATGCTGAGCGGGCGAGAAGAGAGGCTGAATGCACAGAATGGGATTTGGTGCTACTGCTACCATCGTTGGGGACATATATCATCAGGAGGAAAAGCGCCGCAGAGAGTGCATCACAAGGAGTGAAGTTGCATCTTCTTTTCCTCGCAGATGACGGTTCGGGTTCATTCTCTCCTGTTGCGTGGTAAGTGTGGTCCATTCGCAAACTTTATAACTAAAAAAAACTTTTCACTACTCTCTATCGACGAACTACTAACACACTCTGCTGTTTCCTACTCCTTCTTCCTTCCTTCCGCTGTCTTCGTTGGTTCATTTATACACGCGAAACGCGTCCTCTGGCTGGCTGGATTGTCCACTCGGGCTGCCGTACATACATGGTGGTGCAAGATGGCAACCTTTCTAAAGCAAGGCCCTTGCTATATATATATATATATATATAAAAGCATAATTATAAGGCTACGAAAACCAAACGAATTTTATTTTATAGCGATTATACACTTGTATAAAAATATTAATGGGTAGAATATTCAGATTCAGATTCAGATTGACAATAAACCATGCCAAATATTACACACTGGCCCTTTAAGTGACTAATGGGAACCAAATGTTTTTAAATTGGTCTATAAGTAAGAGAGAACACTGAAGCTAGCAGCAGCAAAACAAGCTGCAATGTAATCACTCGGGACATGTCTGCAGCGTTGATTGATGTCCACTTAAAGTGCTTGTTTTTACCCGACAGGCTCAGATAATAATATTTTAGTGTCTGATGACATGATGGAATGGATGCCTACAGAGACAGACCTTTTCGTTAAACAGTAAGATCCTTTTTGTTTAACCAGAAACACCTCCAGAATCCCTATGGCCAAACCTACCAGACTCCATTTGAATAAGCAGCGATTTTATTATTGTAAAACATTCTTCATCCAAGTCGATAGACATCAAATAAATCTCACAAAAAAAATGCCTTGGTTCTTCTTACAACTGTTTTAACAATCACCAGTTCTGGTTTGATTTAAATAAACCCTCAAGTCACCCAGTGAGAGGTCAACTATGCTGGCTCTATACATGCTAAAAATAATGATCATTTAAATGAAGTCTGGTGAGTTTGGTGATGGAGATTTCGAGGCTGTTTCTGGTTAAACAAAAAGGATCGTACTCTTTGACAAAAAGGTCTATCTCTGTAGGGCTCCTCTCCATAATGTTGCCAGACAATAAGAATAAAAATCTGAACCTGTCAGAGGCATAAACAAACACTTTTAGTGACGTACATTGAAGGTGTGCACCTGCCCCAAGTGGTTACATTGCAGCCTGTTTTGCTGCTGTCAGCTGCAGCCCTCTTTGAAAAACAGTTGTTCCCATTTGTCACTTCGACACAAAAACAGGCAGAAAAGGGGTCCAAGCTGAAAAACACCAAAGTCATCCTTTAAGTATATAATTTGAATAAAAATATTTTACCTGAGCTGCGATTCCAATCCTGCCCTCATTCAACATTCCAATAGCATACTTGTACCCCTGACCGATCTGCCCCAAAATGTTCTTCTCTGGTACCTACAAGGAAAAGCAAAAAGTTAGTAAAAGTCACAGCTTGCATTTGTTCCACATCGGTTCGGTGCAGTACAAGGTGCTTAGCAGTGTACCTTGACATTGTCAAAGTTTAGAGGGCAGGTGGATGACGCACGCAGGCCGAGCTTGTTCTCCTTCTTTCCAATCTCAAGACCCTGCGAGTCCCGGTCCACGATGAAGCAGGTGATACCTCTGTAACCCTGGGAAACGAAAGTGAGTTTGTCTTTATGTTTTGTACATTACAGGGGTAAGCATTTGTCGAGACTGAGTTAAAGAGGTCTTTATTTAATATATAAGCCAAGTGCCATCTAGTTCCATTGCATTTGAGAGAAGGCAGACATCTCTACAGTCAATATCTCCAACTATCACACCAAAACAATCTAGACTGGTAAACAGCACTACAGGTGGGAGGAAAAATATGTATATTTTATTTTGGAGTGAACTGTCCCTTTAAGATTTTCCTAGTACTATGAAAAACTGAGTAAGTTGTGGATCTTTCTTGTCTGACAAAAGGCAAAATGAACAGTAAGAGGAGCATTTACTCACAGCAGAGGGGTCTACGTTGGCCATCACCAGGAAAACACCAGCATGCTCTGCATTGCTGATCCACATCTTGGATCCGTTGATGATGTAATAGTCCTTATGTTTTTCAGCACGTGTCTTCAGAGCGAAGGCATCACTCCCCGACTCTGCTTCGGAGAGGCAGAAGCTTCCAACCTGTGTGTCATGACACAGGTTTATAAGGAAGTGCAGGAAAGTGCAGAATGGACACAGCCAGAGATCTACAGTATCGTGTGGTTGGTCATCTAACATCTTCCTGTCATGGCTGCCACACACAGAGATAATAAATTGCTCACCATATCAGCTGACAGTCGGCTGAGGTACTGCTCTTTCTGAGCTGCTGTACCCAGGTTGGAAACCAGTGTGTTGATCAGTGTGTTCTGGATGTCACAGAGCACAGCCACAGAGGGGTCCACCTTCGCCAGCTCCTCAATGACCAGGATGGAGGAGAAGAATGTGGAGCCAGTGCCGTTGTACTCTGGGTCGATCTCAATGCCCATGAGCTGTGAAAATAATATCAGAGTCACTGGATAGAAAAAAAGACCAACACGGTATTAAGTGTTATGACACATCAAAATGAAATGCGTTACATACGCCCTGTTCAAAGAGAGATTTGATCACTTCCTCGTCCATGGCAGAATTCTCATCCATCTTTGACACAAACGGAGCAATGCGCTCTTGTGCGTATTTTTTAACTGTCAAAGAAGAAGACATATGCTTAGTGTTTTAGGAGTGTCTGTCTCCAGCTGTCAGCAGCAGTAGGACACACAGATGGGTGAGAAATTAAAGGAAAAACCAACATCAAGTGTCTCTGTACGGGGTCAGGCTACCATGAGCCTCCAGAACAGCTTCAGTGTTACTTGACAAGTCTATGGAGCTCTACTGAAGGGGACAAATCCCACTCCTCCACAAGATATTCCCTATTTATTTACAAAACCCAAAACCAGTGAAGTTGGCACGTTATGTAAATCGTAGATAAAAACAGAATACAATGATTTGCAAATCCTTTTCAACTTATATTCAATTGAATACACTGCAAAGACAAGATGTTTAATGTTCAAACTGAGAAACTTTTTTTTTTTTTTTGCAAATAATCATTAACTTAGAATTTAAAGGCAGCAACACATTGCAAAAAAGTTGGCACAGGGGCCTTTTTACCACTGTGTTACATCGCCTTTCCTTTTAACGACACTCAGTAAACGTTTGGGAACTGAGGAGACCAATTTTTGAAGCTTTTCAGGTGGAACTCTTTCCCATTCTTGCTTGATGTACAGCTTAAGTTGTTCAACAGTCCGGGGTCTCCGTTGTCGTATTTTACGCTTCATAATGCGCCACACATTTTCAATGGGAGACAGGTCTGGACTACAGGCAGGCCAGTCTAGTACCCGCACTCTTTTACTATGGAGCCATGCTGTTGTAACACGTGCAGAATGTGGCTTGGCATTGTCTTGCTGAAATAAGCAGGGGCGTCCATGAAAAAGACGTTGCTTGGATGGCAACATATGTTGCTCCAAAACCTGTATGTACCTTTCAGCATTAATGGTGCCTTCACATATGTGTAAGTTGCCCATGCCTTGGGCACTAATACACCCCCATACCATCACAGATGCTGGCTTTTGAACTTTGCGCCTATAACAGTCCGGATGGTTCTTTTCCTCTTTGGTCCGGAGGACACGACGTCCACAGTTTCCAAAAACAATTTGAAATGTGGACTCATCAGACCACAGAACACTTTTCCACTTTGCATCAGTCCATCTCAGATGAGCTCGGGCCCAGCGAAGCCGGCGGCGTTTCTGGGTGCTGTTGATGAATGGCTTTCGCTTTGCATTGTAGAGTTTTAACTTGCACTTGCAGATGTAGCGACGAACTGTAGTTACTGACAGTGGTTTTCTGAAGTGTTCCTGAGCCCATGTGGTGATGTCCTTTACACACTGATGTCGGTTTTTGATGCAGTACCGCCTGAGGGATCGAAGGTCACGGGCATTCAATGTTGGTTTTCGGCCTTGTCGCTTACGTGCAGTGATTTCTCCAGATTCTCTGAACCTTTTGACGATATTACGGACCGTAGATGATGAAATCCCTAAATTTCTTGCAATAGCTCGTTGAGGAATGTTGTTCTTAAACTGTTCGACAATCAGCTCACGCATTTGTTCACTAAGTGGTGACCCTCGCCCCATCCTTGTTTGTGAATGACTGAGCATTTCAAGGAAGCTGCTTTTATACCCAATCATGGCACCCACCTGTTCCCAATTAGCCCGTTCACCTGTGGGATGTTCCAAATAAGTGTTTGATGAGCATTCCTCAACTTTCTCAGTCTTTTTTGCCACTTGTGCCAGCTTTTTTGAAACATGTTGCAGGCATCAAATTCCAAATGAGCTAATATTTGCAAAAAATTACAAAGTTTACCTGTTTGAACATTAAGTAACTTGTCTTTGCAGTGTATTCAATTGAATATAGGTTGAAAAGGATTTGCAAATCATTGTATTCTGTTTTTATTTACAGTTTACACAACATGCCAACTTCACTGGTTTTGGGTTTTGTATAAAACCCTTACAACCCCACTAACAAAAGGTGTCCCACAAGGTTCAGTCTTAGGACCACTGCTATTCACTGTATATATAAATGATATAGCTTTGTCTTTGCAAAACTGGAATGTCCACTATTATCCTGATGACACTATTTTATATTGTTGAGCTGTCACTTTGGCAATTGAAAATGAAATGCACTTATGAATGTCAAACCTGTATTAAATGCCGACAAAACAAAATATATGCCAAAAACATTAACTACAGTGCTCTTCAAATCAAGGTTCAAGGTATCTTTATTATCCCCGAGAGGCAATTTGTGTGACAGCCAGCAGTTAAAACAAAGACAACAATTATCACAACAAATAAGTAAACAACCATAAAAGAATACACAAACACATTTAGCAGCCATTTAAGAGACTGATAGCAGCAGGGATAAATGATTTTTTGAACCTATTTGTTCTACATCGGGGGAGATTATATCTGCATCCTGATGGTAGCAGCATGAAATTGTCCCTTAGTGGATGACTTGGGTCAGCCAGGATACATTTAGCTTTTTTCCTGCACCTAACCTGATACAGATCATGAAGGTCATTTAAGGGTGCTCCAGCAATTTTGCTGCACACCTTCACAATGCCTTGCAGGCGATTTCTTTGTTTAAAAGAAAGTCACTCACAACAGGACCATGATCAGTGTCACCACTGTGGAGGAGGGACACAATAACAGAATCATCTGAGAATTTAATGATGTGGCGGCGGTCATGATGGCTTTGACATTCATTATATTATAAAACAAATAAAAATCTGCACTCTAAATGGCATGATCATGGAACAAGCTCCACATTATAAATACTTAGGCATCTGGACCCATGACAAGTTCACCTTCAAGCCAAATTACGAATGAAGCTTGGTATTTATACAGAACTTGTCCTGTTATCCACTGTCTTATGGAAGGAAGACTGTGGAAGCAATCTTTCCGTCAGTGCTAGATTATGATGTAATTTCTTGCCATGCAGCAGCCTTCACTCTCTGACCCTAAATGCTGTCTACCATTCAGCCCTTAGATTTATAACCAAAGACAGCTATAGTTCTTATCAAAAAGCAACCATTTATTTTTATTTACTTATAAAGGACTTCTTCACAAAATGCCCTCGTATTAATAATTAAATATTTGACATTACTTATTGGCTGGAGAGCCATTTCATTGTCCACTACTTGCAGGCTCACAAAGGGGTGTGTCTGTGACAGCCAATCACATCTGCTAAAAGAAAGCCTCGCGCCTAGCAAATGGGTCAACCACACCTCCTCACTAAGGTAAAAGTTTCTGTCCCTTCCTTGCTCAGTGTTGCTCTGAGAACTTTCCTAAATCACTCCTAAGCAAAAACTCCTTACTAAACGTTTTTAGTGTAAGTTAGGAGCTCCCTGAGAGTGTTTGAATACAGAATGTTTGTGAATACACAGGCCTCTGGTGACTATAAAGTCCTTGGCATTTTATTTACGTCATTTTCATACTCACCAAACCAGTCAGTAACTCCTAAAGCACGGAAGTATCTGTATTTGAAGTGTTTCTCCACTCTTTTATTCAGTTGTTTCCTTTAATTACTCCCCTGTCTGTGTGTTACAAGCCGTGCAGCTCACCTGCTTCCCTCATCATGCTCTCTTCCTCTGAATATGTCTGCAGGGGAGGGAAGGAGACCCCTCCAGCTGCTCTGTCTGAGCCCACATCTGGGGAGGGATTGGTTGACCTGCACCTCCATCCAGCCTGGCAGGCTCCCCCCCAGGGTCGAGAGAGCTGCCTGCACGACTGAGAACAGGACAGACAACAGTGGACATGCCTGTCAGCGTGTTGGTGATAATGCACACTTTGAATACCGGTGCTAAACTCTCGTGTGGGCCATCATTCATGACTAAATAAACCATTTTGTTTCATTGCTCTTATGCTAGCGTTAGCCGTGTTAGCTAGTTACGTCAACAAGAGCCAGCCGAGGTACGTAAGTTACGTAATTCAATGATAAAAGATCGATACAGTGGAAAGATATTTATACCAGTGCCCAATCCCATCAAATATTAATAATATGTCAATAAAATTTAGCCTCACCTTTGAGAAAATCCTGAACAACGGTGCCGCCATGACTGGTTACAAAATGTTTACATGCGCGTATGAGAACGACCACTGGAATGATGCTGCCTTCAGGAGCCCGTTGTGCCAGTCGGAAAAAACTACACTTGTACTTGATTTTATACGTACACTAATGTATTGTGACAGGGAGGGGGGTTGTAATCCAAGAGGAATTTGATTTAATAAAAACAATGTGTTCGTATAACTAGGGAGAGTCTGTGTATTTCAGTGTATGGGGTGGACTTGTGGAATGGGCTGGGTGATGAGTTGAAACAAAGCCTCTGTATGTGACATAAAGATGAACACATTCTTCCTCACAGCCCTGAAGGCAACAGTTGCGTTTGCAGGGGACTCTTACCAAATACGTAAAAACCAAACCGGAAGCGTTCACTTGGTTACAATTCTAGCCGGATATTTTATCCCCTGAGCCTAAATTTCACACTTCTCTCTGCTTAGCGATAATGTTGCTCAGACGCTAAGAGGTAAGGCATGAATTACGTTGAGGTTTTGTTAGATAGTCGGTGTTAATGGAAACTGCTGTACGTTAACGGTTGAGCTAGCTAGCTAAGCGCGTTAGCATTGTTGTTGTAGCTATGAGCTAGCCATCATATCATAGTTAGCAGCTACGTTAGCTAACGTTTCTGTAGGTTATCAGCAGTCAGAAGTGAAAGTAGAGTTGTCACATGTCTACTGAGATATCTGTGGATGTTTTTAGGTGAAACACTGAAGAAGGAGGATGGAAGAGATAAAGACCGAGCCTGTGGATTTTGTGAAGGAATTCCAAGAGTACCTGACCCAGCAAACCCAGCATGTCAACATGATCTCAGGCTCTGTTTGCGGAGAGAAGGAGGCAGGGGAGCAGTTTCAAGCCGGTAGGGATGCAGTAGAATATCTTACACAGCTTTGATAAGTTAAGAGTCAAACCTAAAAGCCATTTTTGGTTTTAGTTGCCCCCAGGAGTGAGCAGAATGGTCTGGACCCTCCGTCTGTGGAGGTGAGCCTGCCCATGGAGGATGGCTCAGAGGTACAGATGGATGGCCTGGAGAGGACTTGCGATGGGAAGTACAAGTGCAGCTACTGCAGCTATGCCAACAAGGGCATGGCTCGTTTAATAGAGCACATCCGCATCCACACAGGTCAGTGTTGACACTGCAGCCATTCACTGAGACAACACCATGCCCAAACATCTGTCTGACAGTGCTGAGGAGCTGATGTACACCAGTCAGCCACACCATTAAAACCACTGACTGATTAAGTTAATAACATTAATCATCCTCTTAAATGTTCTGCTGGGAAACCTTTCATCCACTTGACACGCACCAACCACCCAAACACAGTTGCAGACCAAGCACATCCCTTCAGTGGTCTCCCTAGCAGAACAATGTGCCATGCTGCAGTCAAAAACTGCTCAGAAGTGGTCCGAGGAATGTGACATAGAGCTCAAGGCGTCAACTTGGCCTCCAAATTTCCCAGATCTCAATCTGATAGAGCATCCCTGGTATGGTCAGAGCCAAATCTGATCCATGGTGGGGCTTCTGACCTGTCCAGACATTGACACAGGACCTCTGGGCGTGTGCTGTGGTGTCTGGCAACAGATCCTTTGAGTCCTCTCAGATGCAAAGTGGGGTACCAACCTGTCACGCAAATTCTGTATTGGATTGGGATCTGGGTGAGTTGCTGCAGGGGGCATTGCCATCAGGGAGTGTTGTTGCCATGAGGAGGTGAACTTGGTGTGCAGCAGTGTTTGGGTGGTGTGTGTCAAGTGGCACCTACATGAATGCCAGGACCCAAGGTTTCCCAGCAGAACATTGTATTGTAACAAGATGGTCAGTGTTATTCATTTCACCTGTCAGTGGTTTTAAAGGTCCGGTGTGTAAGGTTCAGGGGGATTTAGTGGCATCTAGCTATGAGGATTGCAAACTGCAACCAGCTGAAACTTTTCCCAGTTAGAATTCCTTCAGTGTTCATTGTTCAGGAGGTTTTTACTGGGAGCTGAATTAACCACAGAGGTCTCTTCCGCTCCAAAACAAAAGGACCAGGTGATTTAAACCTATAAAAACACTGAATAAAGCAGTTTCATGTTACAAATGAGTGTTTCTTCTGTGCTGTTTGGCACACCGCAGATGGGCCAGTTGCCCGGCACCTGCTAATTTGTGCTTACCTTTTTACTCTGATAACTGGAAGATCTTTTTTGTCTACATCATCTTCTCTCATTTTGTTTAATGCCTTGTCTGGAACACATGATACATTTTACTCACTGCTTCACAGCTGTTTACTCTTTCACAGTAAAATATACTTGGTAATATCCCCAATTATCATTTTCTGTCATGTTTGTGGCCTAGGAGAAAAGCCTCATCGCTGCCAGCTGTGCCCGTTTGCCTCAGCGTACGAGCGCCACCTGGAAGCCCACATGCGCTCGCACACAGGAGAGAAGCCGTACAAGTGTGACCTCTGCGCCTTTCGCTGCAGTGACCGCAGCAACCTGTCGCACCACCGTCGCCGCCGCCACAAGCTCCTGCCCACGAGGGTCGCCCGCTCCCCTTTCGCCAACAAGAGAATGCTGAGCTCCCTGCAGAAGAGGACGGGCTCGCTGGGCTTCGGCAGACGGCTCCTTATCAACTTCAGCCCTCCCTCCGTGGTGATGCCAAAGTCGGATTATCTGAACGACTTGTCTCACAAGTTCCACCACCATCTGAGTAGCAGCGAGTATAAGAACCTTCCCAAGGTAGATGATCGTGACAGAGGTGCTAATGGTTTGACTTTTAACAACCCACTGGACCAGCTGTCTACACTCGCTGGCCAGTTAGCCGACCTTCACCCTGAGTCTCAGACTCCTGCATCCCCAGACAGGGAGTCCTTAAAAGACGAGAAGCCCATTCTCATACAGCAGGTCTCTAGCGAACATGCTGCCATGTGTTCAAATGGAGTTCAAACTTCACCTCATAAAAATCAATCTCCCACCTCAGGCCACGGGAGTTGCAGCCCCGCCCCCGGCCTCGGCTTTGAGAACAACGTGAACACTCTGACTGCGAGCGTTAGCAACAGCCAGCCGAGCACACCCGCCCCTGCGCTGACCACACCAGACCAACAGCTGTTACATAAATGCCAGCACTGTGACATTCATTTTGTGGACAATATCCTCTACACGATTCACATGGGCTGCCATGGCTATGAACATCCTTTCCAGTGCAACATCTGTGGCCACATGTGCATAGACAAGTATGACTTTTCATGTCATTTTGCCCGTGGACAACACAAAAAGTGATTCCAGGCAACATGGACGCATATGGAGTCTTGCGTTTTTAAACTTCTATACAGCATCTGACACAGTTTACTACTAGTCCTTTTCATTTTATACTCACTATATTGTTGCCTCACTGCGTGTCTACATGGCTTTGAGCTTTTCATATTAGTTTTAGAGTGATACTAACAAAGGCTGGATGAAACTACTGAAACATTTTGTAATACAAGATACACTTAGGCCCAGGCAAAATACCAATATTACTTAGATATTGTGATGGAAGACTAGATTTTGCTTTAGACTTTGGCTATCGTAATACCTAAGTGTACCATTTCCTGGTTTTAAAGGAATATCTCACCCACAAAACAACCATTTGTGTATCAGTTACTCACCATGTGTTGAATCCATGAAGAAATCTTTCTGGCATGCCTCCGAGGTGAACGAAGAATCCAAAAAGGGCGAACCTCTCACCACTTGTACTGAGCATACATCTGGATAAATGAGACTTACATGAGAGTTACACTGCAGGAGTTGTGTGCGAATGTGTAATTGGATGTTCTGATATCATGTTGCTGATGTTAAACATGGTCACCATTTACCTCAATCCATGAGGAATATTCGCCTTTTTTGGATTCTCCATTCACAGTGGAGGCATATGAGAAAAACAAAGTTTTCTTCATGAATTCAACATGATACATGGTGAGTAATTGATGTACAAATGGTCATTTTATGGGTGAATTATTCCTTTAAAGGCTGCATTACAGTAGAGTGATGCAATTTTATGAACTCTTCTAGGTGTTCTATTATTTGACTTAAACCACGTAGTCATTATATTCACATTACTCATCATTGCATATAAAAAATCTTGTGTAAATATTCTGTGAAAGCACAATTAGTCAGCCCGCAATACTGTCGTAATATCAATATCAGGGTATTTGATTTTCTCCATGTCACCCAGCCCTAAGCTCACTAAATGTAATTTCAACTCGTCCTGCAGTCAGTATTAGTTTTGCAAAGTGGCATCATGACCACTGTCTCTCTACACCAGTGCAGCTGCTTATGTTTGATATATTAGTGTCTCAATACTCTGCAGAGTCGCCAGGATTTCACTAAGCTGCCTGTAGTGAATCACAACTACACAGGCAGCTCCATATGAGACATTTTAAATTAAATATAAACAGTATTGAACACCAAACATTATGAGCCACAGCTCGGTATTCATCATGGAGCTGTTACCAGGGCTGTCCCGAATACTAGTTTTGGAGCATTTTCAGTTTCAGTTTTCAGTCGTTGCACCTAAAATTACATGACCGTTAGCTTCTTTGTTAGCATGCAGGTCACAGTCACATGAGCCATAATAGCTAGAAAGAAAGAATTCTTTGCAACATGGCTAAGCTGTTGCAGTTTGGGTGTTTGCCACACTTTGGCCACGTGCTTGACTTTTTCGACATCTTGCTAGCGAAATCTTTGAGCCTGTTACAGGTAGTCAAACTGTTGGAGTCACAAAACCCGGCCTTTCACTAAATTTAAATGTTACTGTCTAAGAATAATTAATGTTGAATATAGGTGGGAATCACCAGAAGATTTATGATATATGATTTTATCGCAATACTTGAGTCACGATACAATATTATTGCGATTTTAAATATGTTGCGATATGCTGAGTATCACGATAAAATATATTGCGATTTATTACCTTTTTCAACTGTAAATTATGTCTCCAAAGGAAAACTTTGTCAACATCTGTCTTATTTAATAAGTTTTCAGACTGTTCATCTCACTTCAGTCACTTTTATTGCAAAGAAATGTCTAGTGGACTGAAAAAGCAATGATCGTGTACCAAAAGCTGACTTATTTGTAATTTGATTCATTTATATAGTAAAAAAAATCTAATCTTGGCACCGTACGACTATACGATACTGTCACACAAAAATATTGCGATACTAGGTTGCATCGATTTTTTTTTAATTTTACTATTTCATAATTTATTGGCCATTTTGGAGCATTCAGACACTGCTTTGGACATTAAAGTTTAGCTGTTAAACTATAATTTTGTCCACCATCTGTACTGTATATGGCCTGTTAGTCTAATTATACACCATAGTTTCCATCTTAGATAAATTAGTTTGACATATTTCACAATGAGAAACTGAAGTGAGGTGTTAAGAGACTAAATTTTCTGCTCAGAACATAAATGTGTGTCCAGCCAGACTCATTAAAACTCTGCTTGCTCTTCTGATATTTATTTATACCTCACGCCGTAGACTGTAAAAGGTGTCGGCCAAATCAGTCACTATTTTAGAGAACATTTCGATAGTGTTTTTGTTACTTATTTATACCCAAACAATTTTATATTTATCAGTTGTCGCGAGTCATTTTGTGGTACCAGTTTTGAAGAACAAAATCTAAATTCACCGTAGCCACTTCTGTGTAGAGTAGCAGATGTCAAGACACTGTAAAGATCCTGAAGATGTAATGTGAAGTAATGTTAATTTTAATTTAATAGCGTTTGAAAGTAAAGACTTGTGTATGTAATTACCTCATTATGGACATTAAGTGAAAGTTTGAGATCAATGGGGTCTTATTTCTCTGTAAGAACATTGTTTGTATGCTGACAACATGTTTGCAAACTGTGTAGATGACGAGTGTATCCCTGTATCTCGAGTTTGAAATAAGTTTTGAGGAAATAAATTCTTTTTTTTTATTACAAGATAAAACATTATTCATACATTCTCTTTGTTTCACTCAGTGCCACAAAGATCACACTTTATTTACATTTAAACACAGTGTCACAGATTCTCTTGTGACGTTTGATGTGATTAAAAATGCCTTTGTGCAAATTCACGAGTCGATTCAAGTCATTTATTTTCATTTATGATTCTCAGCAGGATTTCTTTTGTGTCCAGATCAAAAACGTCCATCGCTCTTTTCACCACACGTTCCACGTCAATGTCCTTGTCTTGGGTGAAAGACGCTTCCTGGAGCAGCTGTGTCCGCAGGTTGTGAAGAAACGTTGCTTTGGATTCGTTCAGCTGAGCGGCCAAAGACCTCATGAGCTCAGGAAGTAACTGATTCTCTGAAGTTAAAGGGAGAGAATGAGCATCACACTGGGCTTCAAATGACAAAGAAAATTTCAAATGTGTAGTATGACAGGGACGGATGTTTTCAAGTGGGGCTGTATGAGGATTTATCCACAGTAAGTGTATTACCTGCAGTAGATGGCGGTTTGGAGAAGCAGACAGAAGCTAAGCAGTGTAATGCTGTGGAAGGGGGGCAGTAGCAAAATGTGTTTATGGTGCGTTCAATTTGCACTGCAAAGTTGCAATTTTTGAGTCCCTGAGTCGGACATTTCAACTGGAACGCCCATCTGAAATTGAATTGTGCGATTGACCACACCCAACCTCAAAATCCAAGATGGCTGTAATTGTAAAATATTCTATATATAGCATACACTTAATCTGGCATTACGTTTTTAGGGTAGCTAAAACGCGTTTCATTGCGGCCCCCATCCACAGCAGCACATTGCTTAGCTTCTGTGCCAGTAGTCCTGCCTGCTCCTCCAAACTGGGGGCGTGCCGACCGCCATCTACTGTAGGTAATACACAGACCAGATAAGTACCTCACACATCCCTGCTTAAAAAAATCTAAACTGTCCCTTTAATGAAGCTCGCAGCTGACCTCTGGCAGTCTTCATGGCTTCAGATATGTGGCGTCGACAGGCCTGGTCAGTCTGGTGAACAACACTGGTGGCACATTTCAGGCGGTCCACCTCCTGCACAGATGAGATATTACATAAGATATAAGATCTATTTTAAAGTCCACTATTAACAGATTTGATGGGAGCTACGTCGACACACCTTTTGCTCTGTGTTGTCCTCAGCTGGACTCAGCGGGTTGCTCAGTGCCGAGGAGATCAACTCCATCACCCTCTGGCTGAGGACAAGCCAGACAGAAAGAGAAACAGATGGAGGGAACACATTAATACATGATTTATGTTTGTAAACTTCAGTTTTAAGTGTTAAAGCTGCTTATTCTGCTGCCTTACACATCACGTTCAGACAAATTGTCTGTGGTGCTGAATGAAATGCTGCTAGTCTCCCATGAGTTCATCTGTGGATTTGGAGACTCCAAACGCTTCACCATCTCCACTATCACCTCAGTGGGAATGGGCGCAGACCTGCTCTGGTTTCGTCTGATGCAGGACTCCAGATCACACTGCAGATACACCTGGCAGAATCCCAAGGAATCTAAAAACACAACAGACAGATTAGTGTGTAAGACCATAAGGTCCTTTATGAACAATTACTTAAGTTAGTGGCCTATGCTGTAGACAGAAAAGAAAGCAGAGTGCTTACACTTCCTTGCAAGTTGGTACACTTCATATCTCATGCTTGGATAGTAGAAGTTGTCATCCAGTAGAAGGAGAAGTGGTGCCCGCTCAGCCTGTGAGCGGTCCAAAGCTTCAGGCCACAGTAGAGCTTGAACGCATCGCTCCCATGCAGCCTTGTTGATCTGACAGCTGCTCGGCAGCTCAGCCAAAACTTGAGGTTTCTCCAAGAACTGCTCGATGCAGCGCAGAACTGCCTGTCTGTGTAACTTCCATTCAGTGTGCTGAAACAAGGAAGAAAGACATCTGCTCAATATAAACATTTTTAGTGCATGCTGAAGATATGAAACTGAATTTACATTGTTATGGCAAGAAACTATACTGATGTGGACACTTTGCTAAAAACCTAAATGAGGAAAAGGACTCTGGTGCCTTATGGTATATGTGTACTTAAAGTTCAAGTATGAGGGATTTAGTGGCATCTAGCAGCAGGCTGCCATTAGGACATACAGACAGGGGGACTACATCTTCAAAAGTGGGCCACTCATCCACATCCAATGGAGGGATGCCTATACATTTTTATACTTCCTGCAAATATAATTCAATTAATGATATCTCCTACATATGTATTTTCTATCTACTTGTCTTGTATCTACTGTTAAGACCTTGTTTTCTTATTTTGAAAAACCACAATCACAAGTGTGTCCTGGGCTGAGAAAATACCCTCCAATGAATGATTAGAGAAAAGTAAAATCAAAATGTGTTAACTATAAAATGACATTTATTTATCATTTAAAGACATATAACTTGTATTGTCAGTGATTTAAGTTAGTTAGTAAATTGTTGCACTTGATCCAGTGGCCTTGGACCAGGGTCATCTGCAGGCCTGTCTAGCAGTGAGTTTGCAAGACTTAAACTTCTTTCATGTGCCAAGCGTGTAAGGCTGCATAAATGTGCAAATGTCTATATCTATGTCTATATCCCTATGAAGCACCTTAAGTCCCAAAAGGTGAAATGCTTTTTATTTATATCTTGTGCGCCTCCGTTTATCTTATGTGAACAAATTAATTACATAATAACTTGTCCCCACAACATAAAATTTGCATACAAGATAATAATTTGTTTCCTCAAGGTTATAACTTGTTCCTGTAAAATAACTGTCTTTTGTGCACAAGACAAAAACAATAAATAATAAATTAAAATCACATTTTGGGTCTTTAGGGGCTCTGTGGAATCCACTCTGTGCCTCATTCTAAGGTAACAAAAACATAGCTATGAATATTATATACCATTTCTGCCAATATATTCCCCTAAATCCTACAAACTAAACTTTTACTAATTATTTAAATTTGAAAAAACTGGAAAAATAAATTAATAAATAAGAATAAATAAAATAATAAATCCAGTTGTCATATTCAAATTGCTTATTTTGTCTGACCAACAGACCCAAACCCAAAAACTTTCTGTTAAATATTATAAAAGCTACAAAAACCAGGAAAAAAGTCACATGTAAGATGCTGCAACCACTATTTTTTTTGGCCCTTTTCCTTAAATTATATATA